AAGAGAAAGATGTATGTTAAAAATAAAAATAAAAATGCTAAATTAAATATTAGTAAATTAATAATTAAGTATTTTTTAATACCTTCTAATTATAATTATATTTTATTGAAAATTATTTATTTATTTTTATTCAGGATAAAGGATGTCACAAAAGATAAGGAATATGCAATAAAAACATAAGTAATTAGTACTACAAGCTTACTATAATTAATATAGTGAGCTTTTATTTCTCTGTTTAATTTTTGGTGTTAATGCAGAAACATTATTGTCTAACGAACCATAAAAATATGGCTACAAGAAATTGTGATGATGGTGGAAGTCTCTATTCTTCTTTTAATCTCCTCTATAAGTTAAAAATGGTTAGTATTTAATCTTTCATATTTATTTTTGTTATTCAAGTTAGCAAAATCTTTTTCTAGATAAATTAAATTAATAATTTTTTTCTAACAAAACAGTGTTTTGACCTACCAAGTGTTTTAAAGGCAAGATTTGTATCATGCCTCCCAACCATCTAAAGAAAAGATAAATAATTGTTTGTGTTCATTTTTATTTTATAAATATTGCGAAGAATTAATGTATATATTTTAGTGCTTATTTTTATTTATATTTCAAATTATATTTGGATGTCTCACGTCATATATCTAAATGAGATATATTTTTGTCTTCACTTTTTTAAATTATTGCAACTGCTCTTTAAGAATCTAAATTTCCCATATGCAATTTATACCAACTAAGAAGTTAACTCTGAAATAAAATTTTTATTAATAGTATTCTCTATTAATATTCTTTATTAACATACACTTGAATTGTTCGATATACACAATGTTGTAGTGGGAAAAAGGCACATCAACTCCTCAAATTTGGTGATGTACTCTGCCACTATGTTGTTGTTGTCCTGCTTCAGCTTCAAGAACTCTATCTCCTTCCTATTCTTCACATTCTAAGGGAAGTTGTTATGGATAATGGACCTTATGAAAAAGAGCTTGCTGCAGGGAAGGAACCAAAATCATTTCATAGGCCCAAAAGAGTGATTCGTAGACCCAAAGAGTGGGAGGATTTTGTGAGTTTTTGATATATTAGCCCTGTATATGCTGGAAAGGTTCTAGAATGAGTTTGTTAGGAGATTCTGTTAGAGAATTCTGTTAGGAAAATCAAATATATTGTAATGAGGTGAATCAATTTGGAGCAATGAACAATTTGTTTTCTCTTTCTTGCTTTTATCTTCTTGGAGGTTTCTCTGTCCTCGAATTCAGAGAATTTCCCGTTTGTTTAATTGGTGTTTTCATTGAGAGAACCACCTCCTATGGCAGATGGTACACGGTCCAAATCAGGTACTTAGTCTCATAAGCTTGATGAGCTTATTCAGAAACTTTTGTCATTCCAGACCTCTATCACCTCCAGATTTGATGAGATGGCATCACGCGTTTCGGCCTTGGAATCGAAACCCCCTTCATCCTCCACACATTCAACCCTTAATTATCACGCTTCAGATTCTTCCTCTTCTCCTCAAAAGCACTTCCTCAAGCTCGATGTTCCACGATTCGACGGCGCAGACCCACTTGGTTGGATTTTTAAGATTTCACAATTCTTCGACTATCATGAAACCCCACCGGAGGAGCGCATCACTGTTGCCTCCTTCTATTTAGACGGTGCAGCCTTGGCTTGGTTTCAATGGATGTATCGGAATGGTCAGATCCTTTCATGGACTCAGTTTTTGCAGGCACTGGAAACCCGGTTTGCTCCCTCGGCATTCGACCATCCTAAGGGAA